AGAGCATTTGTAATAATCACTCCATAAAATGAGATAATACTTTTGAATAAAGATTGGTATTTGATTAAAATCACCCACTTTGCGGGTGCATGTCGTTGATATGCTGCTGGTTTTCGTAAAGCATTTCATGTTATTTCAATGGTAAGGGGAAATGATAAAAAGTAGGCTGACATAGTCCATGGCAAAGAGGCACGATATTTCCAACAAATCCCCCTCTTTTCACGTGTCATTAATCTGATTCCACTACAATTCCACGTGGTGCGAGGGTAGATGGATCCATCACTTTTAGAATGATTGATTCTTTCGATTGAAAGCACCAATTTTATGTCGAGGGGACTATTTTCAGGTTTCACAGATTTAGATACACAAGTACGCTCCATTAACTGATAAATGTTGAACCTTCGTTCATTCATATTGTAATTTTATTTATTCCCCATTTAAATTATTGACACACTGATTGACTGAAATTTCATTTTCCAGAATAATTACCTCAATTACAAAAATATTCTAAACGTATAAATAGCGAGCATTTTGGGTGGTGAAATAAAATGAATATGAATTAAGCGGAGAGAGTCGTTTTTAATTAAAAATTGATGCGAATTGGCTTTTACGAATGGCACGAGTCATTGGAATGTATGTGGGTTCCTCTGATTCTGACAGGCTTCATTATTTTCAATCATATTTGTCATGCAATGCTGCGAGAGAGATATAGCTCATTCAGTGAAACGAATAATAAACAAATCCCATTACTCGTGGCCATTTTTAACTCCAATCAAACAGATGACCGCCATTGTGAAGTATCCAGCAGTTTTAACTTTTATATATTCAGGGGATTTATCTATTATCTTTATCTATTTAGGAATTTTTTGGAGGAGAACTTTTAGGATTTATAGGTTCGTGGGAAAGAACATTTAAGTAGCAATATTAACGAAACTCAGGTGAATAATGAACGTCGGGGGATAGCTATTGGATCAGGCTTTCCACATTACCGCCTCGATTCATCAAGTGTTCTCTGTAGTCTCATTCCGCTATGTGCATCGTACTTGAACAAAGTTCCATTGCCATTTCACTGGGAGTAATTTCTCTCATTCATTCACCTCTTACCTCTTACCAATCTTATCGCTAGCTCGTGCAATTATCAAAAAGTGATCTCGGCATTGGAAACGATAAAGTTGAACATTTTTATGGTACCATCAATTGTATTGTTGAATTAAATATGACATTTCACCAGGGTACACGTTGATGATAATCCTTTGGAATTTTAGTTATCATGGCAACCGCATTTTCAATTATATGGTTCTCGATTCAATTTTAATCAAAAATCAATACGGAATTTCTCATTTATTTCTCAAATTCAGAAAATTGGGCTTTTGTGGTAAATGATGATTCGTTTTATTTTTAGGGCTTCACATTTCATGCTCACCGGGAATATGTTACATTAAATGTAATTGAATTTCAAATAGAATTAAAATTGAATTCATTTGAACAGTAATGATCGACAAGAATATTCCAGGGATTGACGGATTTATAAATAAAGAATTCCACAGAAATTTCATGAGGCAAGAATTTCCAATTTATCTATCTGAAACTTCAAGTATAATTTTTCAACTGTTGGTGATTCCTAAAAAATGGAACAAAAAATAATAAAAATTCAGTACGTATTCAATTATGACCAGATCATTGGCCACAGTCAGGTTTCGTTTTTATTTAATGAATAAATACCACATTTTTTTCAATTCCAGAGATATTTTCCATGCTTTCAAACCATCATGTATTCAATTTCCAAATAGAAAAAAAATTAATACCTCGAGCTTTGATTCGACACATTGCTTTGGGAATTTTTAACTCTGAAGCCCTATAAAATTTTATATCGAGCGGGCGATGCCACCTCTCAAAAAAATTGCAAATTCCACGAGAAATCCGTCCATTCGCATAAATCCAATAACGCCAAAGTGCACCCTTTTCATCCTATAGGTCCACATATATTCTCTATTTGACACGTAATTTTCATTGACAAATATACTCATATCCTCGATAGTCGTACATCTAATGCCGCAGGCCACACGGAGTGAGAAATCCAATGAGAAAGCCCGAAAAACGGATAAAATTTCCAAAATCTAAATCCAAATCCATGAACGCAATGAACATAATAATAATTAGTGTAATGAAAAAATTCCTGATGCAAAAATTGACTGATGGATTAAAAAAAAAAATTTATCTCTAATATTTCCAGAGAAATTTACCAAAAATCATTGCCACTTGCGGATTACGCGTAATATTTGGCTATTTTTCTTGAATATTTCTCTCCATGTCCATTGACCCATGGGATAACCCAAACATGATGTAACAGAATGAGAATTTAAAATGGTTGAAGGTAGTGATTATCCCATTGAGCTTATAAGAAATATTCTGACAGTAGCAAATGCTCAACGTAGCAATCTCACATCCGGCGCACAAAAGTCCCTATAAACGGCGAATATTTCGAGAGGACAGAGAACGGATGAGAGTCATACAGTAGCACAAGTTATAATAGAGACATGGAAGCCCTATATCTATCCATAAATCTCGACAATGGAGCATAACGAATTGTGAATAAAAGAACTTCAGTACTTATTTTCTTCATATTTTCCTACTCTTTTTCCCCTCTCTATTTCTCTACATCTCTATCTCACTCTTTCCCTCCATTCCCACCGGACACTCTTGACATATAGAACTGCTCGCCAGAGGGAAAAATGAAACGAACATAATTGCTCGTAAAGCCTGAGTTTTGTTTTTATCCCTATTTTTTTTCTCTCTTCCCTCCCTTTCTCTTTTCCAATTTTTTTTTATCATTCCTTTTTCCACAGTTTCCACTCGTATCTTTGAACATTTTACTGTGCACCACTATCATACGTGTTACACAGGAAAAAAAGAAATCTATTAACCGGATAGAGAGCGGTTGGTACTTTTAATTTTATTCAATTAAGTGAAAATATTTTTGATGATTTCAGGTATCAATGGAGGAGACGACACTGGACAAGATCTGTCATTGGCACATGTTTTATCTGGTGCTGGTTGGCATTGAGTAGGTGTACAACAGCAATGTCAACGACAAACTCGTCACTGGGTTCTACGTTGAGGCCGTCAGCGACTACCGAGATAGTTTATCAGAGATTTGCAATTGAGCCCCAGGATCAGACCGCCGTTATCGGCAGCCGGGTCACGCTACCATGTCGTGTACAAGATCAAAAGGGCCCCATCCAGTGGACGAAGGATGACTTTGGCCTCGGGGCTGTCAGAAATTTGACTGGATATGAACGTTATTCCATGGTTGGAAGCGATGAGGAGGGTGAGTTCCACTAACTCATTTTTTTATCACCTTCTACTAGAAAAAGATTTTTAAGAAAGATGGCTCTATCCGGGCTGCATTTCACTCCCAAATCGGTCCCATTTATCGGTCCCATCTATCGGTCTCATCTATCGGTCTCATCTATCGGTCCCATCTATCGGTTTCTCAATATGAAATTGTGAAATAAAATGGGAATCATGCTCGGTGAAATACAATCGACGAGAAAAATTACGTCAACTGGACCCATCACCAGAAGATATTTCAATTTTATATTCAAACCAATTGCGAATGTAGATAAACACAATAGCGCAGTGGGTCAGCCAAAATAAATGGCCCACACAGCTCATGATACCAGACTAGAATATTTCATGAATACGCAGAATATAGATGCACTTAAAAGTTGATATGTAGAGCGAAACCCTCGTGAATTCGTTGATATTTCCGATATTTTGTTTTTTTTTTTCTTTCATCATTCATCGGGAACCATAACTGAGTATCCTGGAGGTACACAGTACTACTCTCAATGCAAACTCTCGAAATCGCTATCAAAGTCAATATCGAACATCGTGTGTATATGTACCAGTGCTATGTACATGTATATGTTTAATTCATGAGTTTCCGCGATACAGCCAAGTTTGAAAACACTTCTGCTTCCTATTACATGTATCTACGAATCCTCTTTTCTCTATTACCGCGACACAATTCGGTGTATATACATTCGATAGAATCGACATATTCAGCTGTGCCAGTGGGAGGTGTTTCTCTCTTTCTCCACCACCATTCACCCTCTCACGCCACGGAATACTATTGACAATAGATATCAGACACTCGATAACGTAGACACATCTAACCGCAATGATACATGGACGGATTCTCATGAATATTCTGTCTCCTGTCGTCAAATCATTTTCGGTCAACTATAAATTCTCAATAAATTGATTCCATACTCGAATAGAATGCCTGTTTGTAGATCAGAATGAAACGGAGAGGTGTTGCGCAATCTATCGGGTGTATGATTATTTTACATACTCTCAGGTGATTAAAGAATAATGTTTAGTTGTCTCTAGTTCGTCTCTACATCGACTGTCGTGAAACTTTGATGATTTTTCTTGGTGATAGGATGACATTTTCTGTACTTTTCCGACGATATGTCAGCACATGTTGAAATTATTTTTTTATGAATTCAAGAATTGATACGAAGAGGTTAGTGGTTAGTGGATAATCGTTATCAGTGGTATTTTTAATTAATTAATAGGGGGAATCTTGATATTTATATCAGTGACGAAAATGGAATTTTCTTAAAACCTGTGTAAGGATTTCAGGTTTTTTGTAGGCGGAGAAAAAAATTCACGAAAAATTGAGGGACAGTTCTGTGAACGTGGGGCGAAATCTTGGCAGTTTTTAATTTAGTCCGTTGTAATTTTGACTTGACGTTGATTGGCGAAAATTCAAATTTAAAAATAATTAAATTTTGAATAAATTGAGTATTAAGTGAAATTTTTGACGGAATTTTCAATATTTTCATGGGTTTCCAGAGCTTCAATATTTCAGAGAATAATCAATAAATCGACTGATCAATCAATAAAGAAGTCTACAGAAATTTCATGTGACTTCGTCGCCGTTTAAAATTTCAATTAATTTTCCAACAACATCTGCAGTATTATTTCTGCAACGAAGTGATCAACTCGGACAAGCGCATTATGTTCGAGCCAATATCTCGAAATTGAGAGTAGATAACGATTTTTTCATTGATACCTTTTCCATAGCTCTCATCCTTCTGCATAAAAAATGTCTCTATAAAAAATCCGCTAGGTTCCTTGGATTTCGAGATATCAGCTGAAAACTGGTCTGAAAAAAAATGCACTTCTCCTAGTTACAACTTCGCCACAGTTTTCGCGAGAGTTGAACACAACAACAACAACAACAACAACAAGGTTTAGCCGATATTCAAGGGAATGTTCTTGACAGCGTGCATTAGTCTTGATAAACAGTCTCATATAATTTCCAATTAAAATCCCCCATTGTATGTGGAGGGGTACTAAATTCATGGAATACCTATAATAGGACACTTGAACGAAATTGGTTGAGCGAGATCGGTGAATATGCGGGAATCCTGCCAGGTTGAACGTTTTGCGATGCCACTGGAACCAGCACTCAATGTATGTGGCAACTACTGAACGCTCAAGGCATATACCAATATGTGAGCTATAGTGCATCCATAATTCGTTTGGGAAAATTAGCAATGGTTAAGGGGTTAGCGGAGGGTGAAGGCGAAGGGGTGGATAGAGTGGCCAGAGGGGAGATGCGGGTTTCCAACACTAGATACATTTAGGGGCGCTATACGGGAAAGCTTTGCCGCCATATCGAGACAACAATTTCCCAGTTTCTGACAGCGGTTGAGTCTTGTTAATTTCATGATCACAACCGGTACACCAAGTGTGTTAGCATTGTACACCTGACCACCATTTCCGTTCTCCACAATTCATCTCCCTTTTTTTTCTTTCTTTTTTTTTTCATCCAGCTATTCCTCCAAGGCTCAACCATTTAACCAACAGTCAACAAAAAAATTACTCTGTCATTCGGCTTTTCTGATCCCGATTGCAACCAACCGCAGAACTATACACAAAGTATAATTTCCTGCAGTTAAAACGCTCTACCTCTATTTTATTTCATTTACATTCTTTCTTTTCACCTTACCGAGGGAAGATGCACAATTATTGTCTTGTAACTGAATTATTTTACTTTGTTGTTCAACGGTTTTACTGGAATTTTTCATCGATCTCTTTTTGTATTGAATTCCATCGGTTTATGTCGGTATGAAGTAACCGCGAACACTCGCGGTTTTCACGATGAAGTGTCAAACAAGTGATTATTACGAATATTTATTTTTTTGCTGCATGGGAAAAAGTCCATCTGATTTTTCATAGCACGTGTGCTGGAAATTTTTATATTATATATAAATTAATATATATTATAATAAATTATATATAAAATTATTATTTGCAGGCACACCCACTGCGGTGTTCTTGCAAATAAATAATATGCGCGATATTTTTTTCTCGGAATATATCATTTCCAGATTATCACTGATTTGTGAAAATATTTTTGGGAGCATCATCTCAGCGGTTATAATTTTCCTTCCAAATTATGGAATTTTATTTTATAAATTAGTTAAAATATTGTTATATTATTGATATTGGAACATCGAATCATTTTTTTTTAATAATGTTCCCTTTTTTATCTTTTTCAAATATTTTATATAATGACCTATAAAAAAATATTCGTGTTATAAATGAAAATGAAACTTTCTACATTGCTTTCCTTCCCAAGCGGATGTGAAAAAAAAAGCAATTATCTCTAAAATATGAGCTCAACGTTTTTTCTGCGGCTTATAATCGCTATCAAATGAGCTACGTAATTTTCATTCTAACAGCATTCAGACTAGTAGTAACAACTTCTGTTAACTGGTTATTAATTTTGAATAATGAGGCGACTGCGCCGTGATCACATGCCCTGAATAATTTATCCACACAGCGTGCCCAATGAGAAAATGGAACGTATTCTAATTTATTTAGAAGTGATTCCATTACTCTCCAATTCCAGAGAGCACCAAAACTCCAATAAATTCTTAACAAACAAATACCTACGCTGCAGTACAAAATTTGTGTTCCATTGATATTTGCAATCCTCCATTCTACTAATTTTCACTGTTTGACATCCACATGAATGGATTATTTTGGCTCACACATTCCATGCCCATCACCCACTCGCACATTAACCCACGAAAATATAATCACCGATGTTCCATTATCGATTGACATTCTGGAATATGGCGGACAACCATAGCGACCAGGACGTGCATCGAATGTTTCAAAACTAATTCAAAGTTAAACTGTAATTACTGTTTGTACAATGTCATTTACGAATGTCCAGTTAGCAAGCTCATAATACGTAGCTTTTCAATGGTCGAATGGACACTGGCACGTATTAGAACGGTGGCAAAACCATTGAAATACTCGTTCACCTGTGGCAACTCATGCTAAACTTCTCTACGTGGCAATCATAACGATTATATGAACATATTAAATATTTGAGTTTTACAGCTCACTGTTTCCTGGCAACATGTCGCATTGGCACACATTCAACTCAAGGGTTCACTGCTTTTACAATTTTTACTCTACATGAATTTTTATCAGACAATCACAAATTCTCACACCTCAGTTACTATTAATATTCTACATTATTACACCGGATATATGATAGACTCGTGAGTCATTATCATTTATTTTTTATCTCAATCTTTTTTATCACTTTCATAGAAAAATAAATAATTACAAATTACGATGGTTTTGTTGCGAATTCATGTCGTGGGGGTTGAACTAATGAATAATTAATAATCATAAGAAAATAACAGGATAAATAATAACAAATCGTCTCGGGTGATAGTGTCACTCTATTTTTTACCTCCAAGAATACCTCTTCAATTAAATAGCCAGAACTTCCGTCATTTTATGACTCCCATGAGCAGAAAAAATATATTTGCCAAGAATCCATTTGGGTCAGAGAACTATATAATTTTCTCTAATAGTATTTCTGCAGTTGAGCCATTTTTGGCAATCTCTATTAAGTTTCAATGATGGTCCTCAGATCGCTCCAGATAATGGGAATGGTCATTATAACCTTGAATGAAATGTCTCGAAATTCCCAATAGTAACGAACTCCAATAATTTCTTCTAAGAAAACCATGAATTCGAAAAAATAACAATCATAATTAGCAGACGCTATTAAAACTAGTTACCAACTTCGAAATAATATTCATTCCCTCAATTATCAGAAATATCCGCGGACAATTGATACATAATTACCATGACAATAAAAATAATGATGCAAAATCGTTCATTAATAGTTAATATTTCGCATTATGCAAATATTTAATTGCTACCGGCCGAATAAGAAATGTCAACAAGTCGGTATGATGATCAAATATAACATTCTGAATGAATTACCATTAATTCAATTGATTACCCGATAAATAAATATACTATCGGTTGAAGTTCTGGAGCAACAATAAAATTTTCAAAAGCTGATAATAAAAAGAAGACGAACAAAGAGTAACTTTTTTATCATTAATAATTCTTAATCCACTTGCAAAAGTTTATACAACGTTGAAATACTCCAAACAACTCGTCTTATAATAAACTGTTAATCCCTTTGAAAATTCAGAGAGTTTAAAAGCGATCCTCATTTCGCACTCTCTTTGTATTTTATACGTACAATAAAATCACCAAAAAATTTCCATTTTATTTCATTATTGAATAAACGCGTTGCTATGAATTGAGAAGTATGAAATGAATGTTTTACTCAATTCTCTTGGTTTCATACTGCACAGTAAATAGGAGACTTGGAATGAAAGAATTCAGTGAGGAATTTCCGAAAATAGGTGCACACCGCGCCATGTTGAAAATATCTATTTATTTTTCTGGTTATCTCGATTTCCTGAGTTTCTTCTCTGCTGGAGAATTTAATATCTGAGAGACAGTTTCTATATCGACTCGCAACTCAGACGTATCTACTATTGATTCCTGTTGTACGAATCTCCAAGGTGTATGTTATCAAGGTATATATCTGAATAACCCAGACGATTGACGATGCCTGTGGGTGAGACGACGAGAAAAAGTCTCATTGTAAGATAATAAATTCATTGGTTTCACATCAATTTAATATTCGAGACACTTCAGAAGTATGAAACGA